AAAAAGGAGCCGTTTTCTCATTTTTCTACTTTCAATATTAAATCAAAAAACGAATGATCGAATGATACACGGATTATAATGGTCCTGAGTTTAGAAGAAAATATTGAGTTTATTGTATGTGTACAAACTACAATGGTTAAAAGAACTGGGAAAGTGAAAGGACAGCGTGTAAAAACTAATTTATTGACAGCATTTTATGGATGGCTATCTCAGAGTATCACACTGTGACAGTGTTATGCATTTTTGTTACTCACATTTTAAGAAATGTATCTAGACAAATACAGCTGAAAATTAAAAATCAACAAAAAAGCACAGGAAGAATTAAAAGTACCAAAAATAGAAGAGGAATAAAATGCAAACTAAGAATATTGGAGTCTTTTACAAGAAATAGGCTATTTCGGTCTTTATATTTCAAAATGTCATGCTTAATTCCATGTTATTGGCTATTCTTTGTAGCTACTTATCAAATTTACTAGCAATTTCTGAGTGAAAACTATTGAAGTGAATTTTTCCAGTGTAGTTATCATTCCTTTTGAGTGGGTTTTAAATCAGCTTTGGGCAGAACATTTGTCTGGGACCTGGCAACCCTGATCACTGCCCACCTGGCAATAGCAACAACACGTGCACGTGACATAGAGAAACCTAAAGGTCACAAGGTTAGAATTCTGAAAACCATGCCATAATGCAATGCAACATTCTGAAGGTTTACATTTCACAGCATCTTTAGCATCGTCAAATTAAATATACTAGAGCCAAACTGCAGTCTAAAATAAATAAACCAAGTTTCGGCTAAACACGACAGGACAAACGATGAGTGGAGCTGCATCATTACGAAGACTTATGATATGCATCCATAAAGCAGAGCTCCGGTCACACGTACACCGACCATATACCGCTGCGCTTACGAATAACGGAGATGCGCAAATTCAGTGCATTCTGCCATCCTGCCTTCATAGGCTACTATTGTCATCTCGCAACGCTATTGGTGCTAACAATAGGTGTCGTATACTGGCCTGATGGCTGTGATGTTGACAAAAGCTTGTTTAAGTGAAGATAAAGAAAAGACGTGCGTCACTGTCTATCCTTCTGAGACCCAGCCAAAAAAAAAAGAAAGAAAAAAAAAGTGTTTAGGACAAACAAACATACTACAATACATGTATATTATTGAAATATTTTAGCCTATTAAAATGACTGAAAACGATTCAAATGATTTTTAATAAGCACATATTATTTACACCCAAAAACAAAATAAAATACATAAAAATAAGCATATTAAATATGTATTCAACTAATATAAATTTTTACAAATATTAAAATATTTTAGCATTACATTACATTGATATACTATTAATGCACCACATTGTATTAATATTATAATACAGGCCACACCCCTATGATGTGCTCTTTGACACCCTCAACTCGCTTTAATGTGTTCTCAGACAACACTAAACACAAAACATATGTCTACTGATAACTTAATTGGTGGCTTTTATCAGAGCATTACATCTTTAAAAGCAGCACCTTTCCCATCCTGCCAAACGTCAATGACCGTCAGGTTATTTCAACACATAAAATGCCCAGAAGAGTGTTGTGCATTAACTCAGCTCTATAAAGTGCATTTTACAAGCAATAGTTAAGATACTTATCAAGTGTGAGATAAAAGACAGCCAGACCAGAGTAGTTTAATTAATAGAATGTAAGCTTAAAGACTTAGCGATTTTTTATAATGAAGACTACACACTTTAAAATAAGTACTGTAGGAGCACTGCAATGCTACTGTCTAATATTTGAAATAATAACAAATATATTATTATCATTATAATTAAAAACATGTTCTTACCGGTGTTTTGGCACATTGTGTTGGTATTCTGGTAAGTGAGACGAACTGAAACATTCCCAGAATAACTCTCAGCTTGATCCCCATTGTTTGAGTTCACCAAGAAAAGTCAGAAATAGTTGTGTAAATAATATATAGCAGGTCCAACGTCCAGTCCTCACAGTTGTTAATTCTCTATGAATGATTATTCCACTTTCACATCCGAATCCAACATCTTTAATCCAAGCAATGACAATTTACTCAGTAGATTCTCAAAAAACAAGGCAATTGTCATCCCTGTCATGGCTTAACGAGAAAAAAAAAAGTCAAAAATGAAATATCTTAAGTTTTAAAGTAGGTAAATGAACAAACAGGCAACACGGACTCCTTGAGTATAAAATCAGGCCTTTGAGAGGCTCAAGATGGTCGTAGGGCGTATTTATTAGAAATAACTAGCTACAATAAATCCCGATATATGTTGTTTTACAGGAGAGTTTTCCATGCATTCCGCGCATTTCAGTTATACCGGCTCCCTCGCAGCAAAATTCCCGGTGGCACTAGAGTACGTCCTTATGGTCCAAAGAAAAATATCCGGTAACAAATAAATGTATCCTCAAGAATCGATGTTAAGAGCCTCCTGGAGGTCTCTGTGTCTCCCGTCTGGCATTTCAGACCCGCTTTGTGCGGCGCATCCCGTGCTACTGTAGGTCACCAGAGAAATCATGCCCACCAAACCCATGATGACGCTTTGCTTGTCAGACACAAGATCTTATAATTAAAATGTTCGACATAAATAATCTACACTGTCAACACGCGCAATGCAAAGCACATGCGCCTATATGAAATAAGAATGAGAGAAATACACCTTGATATGGTTAAGGTCGTTTTCTCCAGTCTCGTATTTGCCCTTCAGGACTCACACGCTCCGCAACTCTTTTTTTCCTCCTGACGCGCAGACTTCGCTCGCGCGCAGAAACGCACAGGTGTAATGCTCGCGCAGCGCGAGGTGGACAATTATTAACCGACTCCCCGTCTATTTTTGAGTGCGTTTCCCTGTCAGGGTGTTTTGGGTTCTTTTTTAAAGGAAGCATGCATTTTAAATTAAAGAATTTATCGCTTACAAACAGACGGGATGGTAATTAGAAAACGGCTAGTTTTGTTTCTGGATGTGGATTGATTGATATATAGCGGCGGCACACCGTTAAAAGCGAAACTGCGCGTTTTTTTCTGGCGAGTTATATCTGTCTCACCTGAGTAGCCTAGGTCTAGCCGGTTGTAGTCCGCTTGATTCCGTCATATTTCATAATGACTTAAGTAAAATCAGTTACCACTTGAATCACATTATAAGGTTTCTAAAACATTTTTACAGTGTAGAAACGGCTATGACGCGAAACACCTGTTCACATAGCTACTATATCACTGCGCAGCACCATAGAGACTATCAACCGGGACTATATTTTCCAGCGGAAGAATGAAACTTAAAGGGACAGTTCATATGCCCTCATTTATCTACTTTGTCGTTTCAAATCTTTCTTACGTAAAACTGTAAAAAAATAACAGATTAGTCAAAATTGTGAGCTGTTTTCATAGTATAAAAGTAAATGGGAACAGGAAATTTTAAGTTCCAAAAAAAACACAAAAAAAATCTAAATAAAAATCTAAATATTGTGAAAAAAACATACGTTTGACTGAAATTTTAGATTTTTTTTTTTACTCTGACAATCTTGACAGCCATGGCATTTGCTTCAAAGTATGGAAAAGAGCAGCTTGGACATTTTAAATAATTTGTTATACAAAATGTAAGAAAGTAACATAGGTTTTGAAAGACTTGTTTATATGTTAATGATAATTTACATTTTAATTTACAATAATTTACATTTTTGACTTAACTATTCTTAGTTTTATGTGATACAATTTTGTCCAATCAATTTTGTGGATAGGACTCATTTTTGCAAAATGTTTAAATTCACATGCTGGTTACAATTGCTGTGCAGAAATGACAAACTTTTAGGCTTACTTGCTAATTAAATAGAAACATGTTTTAAAACCAGAAAACCTGTTTTAAACCCATGCTTAACAATCGCCAATAGCCATAACTATAGACAGAGTTTACAAAGAAATAAATAAAATAAAATAAAATGTAGGAAATTTTGTTTTAAAACCATTTTCTAAAGCAATTAACAAAAACGTTTCTGTGCATCAACAGCAATGACTATATTATGAACAACACCTCCTTAGAAGTCACTACTGTGACTATTTTCAGGTGTAAATTTGAAATAATTAGGTTAAACAGCATCTGAACTGATTGATTTAACAAACTAACCAACCTGAACCCACTCGACTTCGTTTGCATGTGAAGACCCTCAACATCACCCACAGGTATGTTTGGGTTATACCGAGCAAAAAAAAATTCATGTGGGCTGCAGGAATGCAGGCTGTTCCATCTCTCCTGGACTGCTTACAGCATTAAAGCTGACAACCGCAAAAAGCCCTTTCAGAGTATAACTATCTAAAGGCCTTCTGGAAAACCCAGAGTGGTCCGGAGAGAAGGTCCAGCCATCACATATCCAAATAAACAAACCGGGCCAAGGTCACAAGATTTCACCATTGATACTGCTGAACTGTGGGCGATGTTGTTAGTATTTCTGTGAAGTCTCTCCAGACGGTGCCCTAAAAGAGTTTAGCTTTAAAACGTCAAAATGATAGGTGCTCTTGTAGAGACAGACAAGCAGAAAAAAACATCATCAAAACTGTCCCTGACTCATTCCTGAAAGCTGGTATCTCCAAGATCAGACCTGAGCAGAGAGGAGCACCTGCATATGGGCCCATGCCATATCAGAAAACCACATCAGACTGAGTCCTGGGCCGTGGAGTCACAGAACAGCCCAGATCGTCAACATCTGCACAGGCTTTGGGAATGTGAGGCTTCTGTGACATTTGTCTACTGTAGTGGATTCTAGAATTGTCCCAATCGCAAATTGGGAATGACCTAGCAGAGGTTTTTGTTTGCTAAGAGGAGTTAAAAAGTAGGGCAATAAACAACAAACAAAGCAAGTCTATGGGAAGTTCGAGACTGTTTTATCGTCCACAAGGTGAAAAGCGAGTCAAATCAAATATGCAACAGCAAAAGTGTTGCTTACCTTAGCAAATATCACTAATAATGCTTTTGGAAGTATATGGATCAAAATTTTGGGGTCATTCATTTTTTTTTAAGGAAAGAACACTTTTATTCAGCAAGAATGCATTAAATTGATCAAAAGTGACAGTAAAGACATTTATAGTGCTACAAAACATTCCATTTCAAATAAATTCTGTTCTTTTCAACTTTCTATTCACCAAAGGATTGTGAAGAAATTGTATCACGGTTTCCAAAAAAATTGACATTTTCAACACTGACAATAATAATGAGTTTTTTTTAAGCAGCAAATAAGCATATGATTTCTTTTTGTGTTTCTGAACACTGGAGTAATGACCGCTGAATATTCAGCTTTAACATCACAGAATAAATTACATTTTAAAATGCATTCAAATCAAAACAGTTACTTTAAACTGTAATATTATTTCACAATATTAAAATGTTTTTAATGCCAAGTTCTGTCATGAAACTCTAGATGGCACAGGCTTATGGTTCCTTAATGCAAACTGATGATATTCACAGCATTAAACTATCTGGCCCAAGCTGATTGGTTCATGTTGCAAACAATAAGCTTGCTGCTTTACATCTGAATGGCTGGTTAGCATCCACTAGAGCATTTCGTAGCACACTTTCAGAGTTCCTCTGAAACCCTCCACCTCCCCCAGCTCCACCTGTACAGAGCTGCTACGGGTTATTATATATGCTACTTGTGCAGCAGCAGTATATTCACAGCACCATATCTGCGCATGTAATGGCAGTATCAAGTTCCTGTACTTGCGTTGCATCAGTAATCTATAGGGATGGGCGTATCGATCCAAAGTATCGATATATCGATACTGACGCGAGTATCGAAGTTATCGATACTCAAACAAATCTACAACAACAGCAATAACCAACAGAAGCAGCAGTTCAGCAGCAGCGTAGCAGATCTATTCCACCAAGACCAAATACATTAACATTGTCATGATACAACTGTATTTTTGATCAAATAAATGCAGCCTTGGTGTGCATAAAAGACTTCCTTCAAAAACATTAAAAAATCTTAACAAACCCAAACATTTGAATGGTTGTGTATTAGAACAAAGAAGTTTGCAAAAAAATCTATAGAAACACAAAAATGCATGCAGATGAAAAACATTACATAACTGAGATCCATATCATCTTTAATTATTGATCACTTCAAAACCCAATGACATTAAGGCTTGCATTAGAGTGATTTCACACAAAACCAATACTTGATTTATAAAGATGAAGGCGCTCTGGTGAATGTCTAATGCAGAATTTACATTAAATGTCAAACCCTAAAATACTTTTCCATTCTTCAAAAAAGGGCAATGACTTGGATATCTAAAAAGACTTAGTTTTTGGGATCTATGCCTTGTGACAACAGGGGTCTGAGAAGAGTTTGGATCCAGAATAAGGGTCTTGTTTAATATAATCTTGCTGTAAAATAACTTGTAGGAAATGCATTTGATATGCAGCCTAGATCTATTACACGGGTAAAAGAAACTTCTCATTACTTGCCAAAGACCCATTCACTTCCTGTTCAAGATAAGATTATTTGATGTTGCATTCAAAATAGTTGGAAAATAACCAGCACCTGAAATAAAACGCACTGGACAGCACTGATCTGCCCATCTGTATAACATTCTTCCATGAGAAACTCTCTCCCACACATACACACACACATTGAGCTTAACAAAGTGCACAATGTACAGTATTTTCAGTGTTTTGATGAACTACTTTATCAGGAATGCAATGTTTCCATAACACCTTTTCCAGGTGCAGTTACAATGTCGCCTGCAAATGCAGGAAATACAGTAAGAGTACAGGTGTTTAAAACACCTCATGAGAAGCCATGTTGGCCTATAATCAGCCTGATTTGCCTTGCACCCCGTGTGACCTTAATCTGTCAGAGTTGGGTGAAAGTACAAGGGCTGAAATATTGCTGCGTTTGTGGATTTGACACACCGTGGCCCTAGAAAATTTGATAAAAACTATGAACACAAAATACAATTCACTCTTCAACATTCATCCACAACCTGCACTCTCTCAATAACCCTGTGTGAAGAGCTTCTTCTAGATCGATCTTTTCCTTGTTTTATTTCTCTTCTCCATTACTGCGGATCTTGTATCTCTCCAGGAACTCGGCGTGTTTCTGTCTCAAGATCTCCTGCTGCTTCTTGAAGCCGTTCACTCTGAGGAAAATCCGAAAGCAGCATGATCAAATACAATTTTTACAATTTCTGAAGAAAATATGAATGTGCTATCCCATGCAAAACTCACTGTCATTATGCAAGATCATGGTTTACCAAATGAGAGGTCTTGAGGGAACTGCAGGAGGTTGATGAAAAGCTAATAATTATATATCAAATGTAAAATCTAAATAAACAGGGCTGCACGATAATCTAGCTTAGTGCAATTATGAATCAAAGGCTGTAGTCTGATGTGCTGTGTATTTCACAGTGAAACGCAGCACTGTGTTCAGTGCACATACGAGCAACTAATGATCCAGTGTTTTCAGCATCTCAGAGTTCACTCCATCTCTGCATGTTCTGAGAGTTTAACATTCATCTGGAAAGGCAACGTGCAATAGGTTTTCTTTATTTACACATTTGCAAGAATATAATGTAATGCACAGCTAGCCATGGGTTATCCCTTACAATGAGAATGTAATATTGACTGAAACACTATCACACTTAAAAAGAGTTCTGTCAGGACCATTATCATCAAAATGATTGACACTTAGCATAGAGTTTGGATTGGGAGTATGGTTCTGTTCTGGGCAAAAACTTCCTGCCCATCC